TTGTCAAAGATGAGGTGGCTGAGTGTGTCAGGAGTTGTTTCTGCATCTTCTAATCTGTTCCCCTGGTCCTCAGGTCTGTTTCTTTGCCAGTACCACGCTGTTTTTTTTTTTTTATCACAGTAGCTTTGTAGTAGAGTTTCAATTTGAGGATTTTGATACCCTCTGCCATGTCTGTGTTGCCTAGGATTGGTTTTGCTATTCTAGGTCTCTTCTTATTCCAAATGAATTTTTGGATTGGTTTCTCAAGGTCCATGAAGTATGCTGCTGGGATCTCAATTGGAATTGCATTGAATCTACACAGCAGTTTTGGAAGTATAGCCATTTTCACTATGTTGATTCTTCCTACCCAGGAGCAAGGGATATCTTGCCATTTTCTGATATCATCTTCAGTCTCTCTTTTCAGAGTGCTATAATTTTCAGCGAAGAGGTCTTTGATTTCTTTAGTTAGGTTGATTCCTAGGTATTTCAGTTTTTTCACTGCTATTGTGAAAAGTATTGTTTGCCCTATTTCTATCTCAGTGAGTCTGTTGTTCATGTAGAGGAAAGCTATTGATTGATGTGTGTTGACCTTGTATCCAGGTACTTTACTAAATTTGGTTATTACGTCTAGAAGATTTTTGGTGGATTTCTCGGGGTCTTCTATATAAAGTATCATGTCATCTACAAATAAAGACAATTTGATTTCTTCATTTCCTATCTTTATTCCTTTTATTTCTTTCTCTTTTCTAATTGCTGTGGCTAATGTTTCCAAGACTATATTGAACAGGAGTGGTGATAGTGGACATCCTTGTTTTGATCCTGATTTTAGTGTGAAGGATTTCAGTTTTAGACCATTTAGTATGATATTGGCTGTTGGTTTTTCATAGATGGCTTTTATCATACTAAGGTAGAGACCATCTGTTCTAATTTTTTAGGGTTTTTATCATAGATGCCTGTTGGATTTCGTCAAATGCTTTTTCTGAATCTATTGAGATGATCTTATGGATTTGTCCTTGGCTGTATTGATACAGTGTATTACATTGATTGATTTGCGTATGTTGAACCATCCCTGCATCCCTGGGATGAATCCCACTTGGTCAGGGTGTGTGATCTTCTTGATGATCTTCTGCATTCTGTTTCCCAGTATCTTATTAAGGATTTTTGCATCTATGTTCATTAGTGAGATTGGCCTATAGTTCTCTTTTTGGGTTGGGTCTTTGTCTGCTTTGGGGATCAAGGTGATGCTTGCTTTCAGGAATGAATTTGGGAGGATTGCTTCCCTTTCAATTTCATTGAAGAGTTTAAACAGGAGTGGCAGTAGTTCCTCTCTAAATATCTTGTACAATTCAGCAGTGAATCCATCAGGACCTGGGCTTTTCTTAGTTGGTAAGTTTTTAATTACATTTTCAATTTCATTGGTTGATATTGTGTTGTTTAGAATTTTTAGGTTTTCTTCGTTCAGCTTTGGTAATTCATATGTATCTAGGAATCTGTCCATTTCTTCTGTGTTTTCTATCTTATTGGCCTATAAGTTCTTAAAGTAGGTATTGATGATCCTCTGGATTTCTGCTGGGTCTGTTGTAATTTCATCCTTTTCATTCCTAATTGCATGGATTTGGGCCTTCTCTTTCCTTTTCATGATAAGTTTGGCTAAGGGTTTGTCAATTTTGTTTATTCTTTCAAAGAACC